GTTGTAATGGACGTACGGTGAATATACGACGCGATTACTTGCTTTTAAATCATATTATATTTTAAAATATGATACCCGAAAAATCTAAGGAAACAACTCATGGATGATATTCTGGAAATATTTACAAGCTCCAAAGCATGAAATACGCGGTAGCCGAAAAATGATTGTATACAAATGTAGCTGAAAAATACACGGATTTTGCTCCTAATATTTAACTAACTCCACAATGATTGTCTTCGGATTTACCCGTTATTGGAAGTAATAATTGTGTTAGCAATTTTTCATATTTTTGTGCTAATAAAAATGATATAAGAGTTCTGCATTGGATATTATGATATTTGTTATTCCTCTCTAAGCCCAGCTCGAGGCTGACCGTAGTCAGCTTTTGTCAGCTCAATGAGATATGTTAGTGACAGGTAACCTGCTCTTCTATGGAGGTTGAATATACCCTATTGGTCACGTATTGTGGTTGACCATTTATTTGTGGTTACTTCACACTATTTAGCCATGTTATGTTGGTTGAATATACCCTGTTAAAGTAAATTAGCTTTAATACTACACAAAAATGTTTACCCTAAGCCTAATGTCAAAGAATTCCATTCCGCATATACCTTGCAGGTAATTATGAGGGTAAGAAGACAACTGTTTACATTGATTAAATGAGGTACTCGCGTGGATACCATGCAGGAACTCTCCAGGATACCATGCATGTATTATTATTTTAACCGCAGCCCTGTTCAGTACAGTCCCTGCTAATGCACTGTTTTAACGGCAGGTCGTACTGCGTTTTAACGGCTGCTCAGTACAGTCCCCTGCTAACGCACCGTTTTAACGGCTGGTCATGCTGCGTTGTACGGCTACTCAGTACAGTCCCCTGTTCGTGTGCCGTTTTAACGGCAGTTTATGCGGAATTTAACAGCTGCTCAGTACGGTTTCCAGCTCATGGGCCGTTTTACCGACAGGTCATGCTGCGTTTTAACGTCAGTTCGTGTGGAGTTTAACAGCAGCTTAGTACAGTTTTTTGCTCATGCACCGTTTTAACGGACGGTCATGCGTCGTTTTAACGGACGGTCATGCGTCGTTTTAACGGGCGGTCATGCTGCGTTACAACGGCCGCTCAGTACAGTCTCCTGCTCACGCACAGTTTTACCGACAGGTCATGCTGCGTTACAACGGCCGCTCAGTACAGTCCCCGGCTCATGCACCGTTTTAATGGACGGTCATGCGTCGTTTTAACGGCAGTTCATGCGGAGTTTAACGGCTGCTCAGTACGATTTTCAGCTCATAGGCGTTTTAACGGTAGAAATGACGAGCGGGTTATGGCTGTTTTTTTGACGACGCTTTAAGAGGCGCGCGAATATCCGACTGTGTTTGTGAGACAACGACGCAGTAATGGCGGCTCCAAAGCCGCACTAAAAGCACCATCATCTCAGGACGCGGTCGCTGCGGTAGGAACCTGTCTCTTTCCTTCATAAATTTCTTCAACTTGTCGGCACGATGTTTGGTCATATTTCTTATAAAAATTCATTTTTATAAAACTATTTATTATTTAATTTTATAAAATGAATGCCATATTTCTTGGAAAAAATTCATTTGCATAAAATGATTTATTATTTAATTTTATAAAATGAATGGCATATTTCTTAGAAAAAAATCATTTTTATAAAACTATTTATTATTCAGTTTTATAAAATGAATGCTATATTTCTTAGAAAAAATCATTTTTATAAAACTATTTATTATTTAATTTTATAAAATGAATGACATATTTCTTAGAAAAAATCATTTTTATAAAACTATTTATTATTTAATTTTTATAAAATGAATTTCATATTTCTTGGAAAATACATTATTTTTATAAAACTATTTATTACTTGATTTTATTAATTGAATGCCATATTTCTTAGAAAAAATTCATTTGCATAAACTATTTATTATTTAATTTTATAAAATGAATACCATATTTCTTGGAAAAAATTCATTTTTATTAAACTTTTTATTACTTAATTTTTTAAATTGAATGCCATATATCTTAGAAAAAACTCATTTTTATAAAACTATTTATTATTTAATTTTATAAAATGAATGCCATATTTCTTATAAATTCATTTTTATACAACTTTTTTAACGAACTTGTCTTGATTTATAAAGCTGCTTTTATTTACTTTTGTCTAACTTTTACGGTGTTATTTTCCACTTTTATTCCATTTCTCAAAATTATTTTTTCTGGGGTTTTCCAAGTTTATTTCCTAAATTCTGCAAGAATTTTTTTCATTTTTTCATTAAAATTTGACTACAATCATTCAAAATAAGCTTTTGATGTTTAGGCGGACACTTTTTTAGCATCACCTTACTTTCGTTATAAGTAACATTCGACCCTTCACAATGTAAATTTTTCAAATTTCAACCAGCTTGTCTTTCGCTACTTTCCCCTTCCAATAGTAACCGAAAATGTTACTTGAACATACCTTGCTTCACCCCTTCACATACTATATCCATATATTCTTATTCATATTATCATAATAAAATTATTAGGAAAAAGTAATTATATTATTAAAGCAATTTCTCTGCAGCAAGTATATTTTTAAATAAATAATTTTATGTAATTTTTTTATCCAAAATAATTTCCTAGTAAAAGCCGAATCATCTTTTCCTCAATTTTCAATAATTTTCATCGCTTTTTATATAATTATGTACCACTTTTTCCCCAGTCCCTTACACACTAATCATCATTTCAACTTCTCTTTTTCATACTTTTTCCCGTTAATTTTTTCAACATTTATATCGACATTCCGTCTCTCCTGCAGTCGCGTATACGCATTACGTCGACACTTACGCGCCGTACGCCGGCCATTCCCGCGGGCGTAATTCGCTTCCAAGGGATTTAAGAGAACCGTTGGGCTGAAAAAAACATTGAACCGTTATAAACATTAAGTCCATTACAACCATTATGACCATTACAACCAGTAAGGCCATTACAACCATTAAAACCATTACAACCAGTAAGACCATTACAACCATTAAAACCATTACAACCAGTAAGACCATTCGAGCTCTTCCGCGTTTTCAGCGATGCATTTTAGGGTAGCAGTTACTGAAAATCTTTACTTTTATTGCGAAAAGCTTTCCATAATACAATATTCACTGATAAAAATATATGACCATATTATTTATTATTAAAAATTTATTATTAAAAATAAATGGCCATCTGCCCATATTATCCAAATACAGACACACTTGCTTGCCAAAAGCATGAGCTGAGACTGGAAATATGCCCCCCTTCAGTTTGCCAAAATGGGTCAAAACGACCTATACAGGCACAAAAAATATGTATTGCAATCTAGACAAAGTCTCGCACATTTCTCCGAGATCTGTTATAGCCATCCTGTTATACTTCCAAATTATAACAGGATGTTATTGCGTCAAATTTTTTCTAAATATTGTTTAATGCCAAAAATATTCCTTTACTTAATCATTGCTTCACCTTTGTTTGCTTCAGCGTTATTTTCATGAGAATTCTTGCATTGTCATAATACACATTCTATGTTATTAATAAACACGTCGAATCAGGACGGGTAATTTTTTGCTTTTTAGAAATAGATAAAAACTTTTTATTCGTAATAAATTTTATTAAGATTGTTTGCCTTTTATATTATTAATGTACGACTTTCCAATTTAATAACTTATACCTTTTTTCATAACGTATACTATTTTGTTCTTAATTTATCAATTTTTATTCGTACAAATAACTCTTTATTAATAATTCAAATTGTAAAAATAACTCTTCATTCACAATTTAAACTTTTTATTCAGACTGTGCAGAAGAAGTTGTGTTCCTAATGGAAAAAAGACATTGCCGGCCCTCCCTGCACGCGCTGCCCTGGCCGCACCTGCTCTGAATTTCTGTGTTTTAGTGACCCCTGGGGAGGAGGGGGATGGAGGGGGTGACCTGGGGTCCTGGACTGTGGGGGGGTTTAGTTTATTCCTTTTCTATGCATAGAAAACACTATAACCAGTCTATTTCAACATCGCAATAGCATTACAGTATAGCAGAGATGCCTACTGTAAATAAAGTGAATGTGTAAATTCTTAATGTGGACAGACCGTGTACACGTTACCAACGAGCACACACCGTGTACACGTTACCGACCAAAATTCTCTTCACTTCGCAATTTACTTAAAACCAAGCCTGTAATTAAAAAAAATCTATAAAAAAACGAAAAACAAGTACATTACGCCTCATGACCACCATAATTACCCTAAGAACTAATTAATTACCCCAATTACTACTCCTCTCGGGCAAAGAAAGCCAAATTAGAAGAACTCTTGCCGATATCGGGTGCCGCCGTCCAATACTTGCCCCGGAACGAGCGAAAAAAATCTAGCCCGATCCTGCGGGATCTTTTTCAGACCTGCCGGAAGATCTGCCTAGATTTTTTTCCGATTTATCTTCCCGGTGCCTAGAATATGACAGGATTTTTTTATATGTATTGTCCAGACGCTGAGGATTTGGCTAGATCTTTGGAAATTAATCGTCCGAACGGGTAGGATCTGCCTAGATATTTGTTAGTTAATCGTCCGGACGGGAGGATCTGCCTAGATATTTGTTAGTTAATCGTCCAAACGGGTAGGATCTGCCTAGATATTTGTTAATTAATCGTCCAAACGGGCAGGATCTGCCTAGATATTTGTTAGTTAATCGTCCGGACGGGAGGATCTGCCTAGATTTTTTACGATTTATCGTCCAGGTGCCGAGAATACGACAGAATTTTTTTCAATGTAGTGTCCGGACGGGGAAGATCTGCCTAGATCTTTGTTAATTTATCGTCTCGACGGGAAGGATCTGCCTAGATCTTTGTTAGTTAATCGTCCAGACGGCTAAGATCTGCCTAGATCTTTGTTAGTTAATCGTCCAGACGGCTAAGATCTGCCTAGATCTTTGATAATTAATCGTTCAGACGGGCAGGATCTGTTTAGATCTTTATTACTTGTGGTTCATCATGGCGCAGAGGATCTTCGGGAAGAGGATAAGATTTCATCCTTCCCTCTTTCTCTCCCTCAACTCCCTCCCCGCCCTCCACCCTCTCCTTCCTTGCACTCAAACCTTTCCTCCACTCTTTCCCTCCATACCCATCCACTCTCCACTCCTCTACTTCACGCCTCTACTTCCCCTCCGTACAACCCTTCCCCTCATTCCCTCTTCAATTATTCACCACTCTCCACTCCCTCCTCACTTCTCCACCCTCCTCCACGCTCCCGCTTCACCTCCCCTCTATACTTCCAACGCCCCCTCCCCTTATTCCACATTTATTCACCCCTCCACTTCCTCCTCCACACCCCACTCTCATCTCACTTCTCCTCCCTCATCCACTCCCTCCTTCACCTCCATTCCATACCTCCCACTCCCCCTCTCCCTCCTCACCTATCCACCTCCCTCCATTCCCCTTTTCATACAAGCAGTCCCTCCTCACTTATCACCCCTCCACTCCCTCTCTCCCCTCCCCTCCCCCCCTCGTCAGGGGTTGTTTGCCCCGGTGCGGGCGGTCGTGCCTGCGGTGCTGGCGACGTGACCTGGCGATAACAACCCGCGCCCCTCCTGTTATCTTTGTCTTATTGTTATCTTGCTGTTTTAGCTTATTGTTATCGTATTGTTGTCGTATTTTCATCTTGTTGCTTGAATCTTATTGTTATCATGTAAATTTTTTCTTATTGTTATCTTGCTGTTTTTATCGTATTGCTATTTATTGTTATCTTTTTTCTATTTATCTTATCTACCTGTTCTTTTATTTTTCTCATATTGCTGTTCTCCTGTTTTAATTTCATTTCATTCGTATGCATATATGTTGTATTACCTCTTCTTTGTTTTCGCAGTTGTTGTTATTGTCGATGTTGCTGTCTATGTTTTCGTAGTTGTTTTTGTTGTTTGATGGTACGAAAAGAATGATTAAATAGTATTTTTTACATATATGTGTGTATATACTATATTAGCCACCCATGTCTATATATAAATAAGGTGGTAATAGAGTATACGTATTCATTAAGTCTAATATTGTTCTTGTGTTATGTTAAAGAAATGTGTAAACAATTATATAAAAATAATAGCAAAGATGAAAGGTAAGAACAAATTCTAATTGCGAGCTAAATTGAGCAGAAATTTAATACAACAAATCGAATATAAAAAGAATAAGCATCTTTCCATTATACACTTTCCCTCGCATAGCAGCATCAATACAATACTGATACAATATGTGATACAATACTGTAATATGTTTATGATATTAATAATAAAAATATGAATAATAATGATACTATTACTACTAATAATAATAATAATAATAATAAAATAATAATAATAATAATAATAACAATAATAATATANATGACTGGCATAACAATGACTGGCATAACAATGACTGGCATAACAATGACTGGCATAACAATGACTGGCATAACAATGACTGGCATAACAATGACTGGCATAACAATGACTGGCATAACAATGACTGGCATAACAATGACTGGCATAACAATGACTGGCATAACAATGACTGGCATAACAATGACTGGCATAACAATGACTGGCATAACAATGACTGGCATAACAATGACTGGCATAACAATGACTGGCATAACAATGACTGGCATAACAATGACTGGCATAACAATGACTGGCATAACAATGACTGGCATAACAATGACTGGCATAACAATGACTGGCATAACAATGACTGGCATAACAATGACTGGCATAACAATGACTGGCATAACAATGACTGGCATAACAATGACTGGCATAACAATGACTGGCATAACAATGACTGGCATAACAATGACTGGCATAACAATGACTGGCATAACAATGACTGGCATAACAATGACTGGCATAACAATGACTGGCATAACAATGACTGGCATAACAATGACTGGCATAACAATGACTGGCATAACAATGACTGGCATAACAATGACTGGCATAACAATGACTGGCATAACAATGACTGGCATAACAATGACTGGCATAACAATGACTGGCATAACAATGACTGGCATAACAATGACTGGCATAACAATGACTGGCATAACAATGACTGGCATAACAATGACTGGCATAACAATGACTGGCATAACAATGACTGGCATAACAATGACTGGCATAACAATGACTGGCATAACAATGACTGGCATAACAATGACTGGCATAACAATGACTGGCATAACAATGACTGGCATAACAATGACTGGCATAACAATGACTGGCATAACAATGACTGGCATAACAATGACTGGCATAACAATTCCTGCCCTCAATGGCGGCGCTCGTCGCAGCGATGCGTGAAATTACGCAAAATTGGCGTCACGTCAAAATTTTACGCTTGGTGGCACCGTAAATATTTGGCCACCTAAACGCCGACTGTAATATTTTTGTTTGCTTATGGCCACCTAAACGCCGGCTGTAATATTTTTGTTTGAATTTTGCCTCCCAAATTCCGGCTATAATTGCCTTGCTTGCTCAAAAATTTATTAAATTTTTTATATAATAATCACACAGTTAAATAATATTGAACACGAAAGAATTTATAATTTTTTGATTTTGTGTAGCATTATTATGTCTCTATTAACCAATAGATGAAAAAATTGGTTATTGTGCTACTTTTATCCATCAGATTAAATAAACAATCCAGACTTCATAATTAACAATTATTATTATTATTATTATTATTATTTTTAATAATATTATTAATATTATTATCATTATTCAATAGCGTAATCACCGCTTCTTACGCTAAATAACGGCTGCAATTTTGCTCGTTATTAAAGCAGTAAAAAATCCTGCCTATTTTATTCAATAAAAGTTTGTAAATTTCTAAACATCGATAAACTTTGGAGCGAAGCTAAGGTAGCGCACATCGCAAATGAATAAACTTAAGCAACTCGAACTTAGCCAACTTTTGAGCCTCACGGAGTTAATGAGGCTCTAGTCAACGCCTACTAAGTTCAGAAAAACTTACAAAGTTTTTAAGAAAACTAAACGTGAAAAATTCCTGAAAGTTTTACGAGGAAGATGCATCCTACCACCGTCACAATAAACTATTATAAAGTACATATGTAATATGATATTGGATAATTTTTTTGATTTAGTGAATTTAAAAAAGTAACTAATATATGGCTCATGCCGTGAATGCTGATTTAGGATGATATATTTGTTGAAATAGTGGGAAAGTTTAGGAGTGGATAAGGAATTCAGGTAAAGTTTAAATTATCAAACGGTATTTTTCGGATTACTTGTGATGAATTATTTGTTATTTTTATGTGTGTTCAGAAACAGAAATTGGAAAAGAAATGTAATATTTTGCCTTTTTGATTTATTTTTCTAAATGACAACCTGTGAAATAAGTAACAGGAACTTTCAGTACGACAAAGTACAAAGTTGGTCTAATTTTTGGATATTAATTTTTGCTTCTTAATGAGTTTGAGCCGACAATCTTATAATCAATCTTACAATCAATCTTATAAAAAAATCGACAATTAATCTTATAAAATGCGGGCATGGCAAATAAGTTATTGATCATAAGTCCTCCACGTGCAACATAAAACGATTTTTTAATCTACGTTATCACGAAAAACAAATACCTTCCAGTTTTTCTTAATTCTAAATATTTCTTAATGTGTCCTATAATCCCAGAATTATAGAACATTTCTATCATTTCCACGCCGGGGCGGAAATAACCAAAATATAATTCGTTGCCCTCGATTTTTAAATCAGCAATCATCTCGTCTGTTCCGCTCCCATGACATCACATCGACTATAAAGTATCATTATGCACCAATAATAATGCATTGAAAATCATCTTGGACGTATCAAGGTTGCCCGACGATAAGGCGCTTATTGGCCGCCGATTGGCCGCCTATAAAATAAATAATGATGGGCGCTGCCATCTTAAACAAGCGCGTAGCAATTGACTTGAAATTGCCTAAAATTGCAGGAAAGTTGACGGCCATTTAGGCGGGCCAATAAAAATAACACTGCAGCGATTTTGATGAATGATAAGTGTTATATAATCGATAAAGAAGAAGCATGTAAAACTTGTTTATGCGCAACTAGAAGTTTAAGTTAAATAAAAATCTACCTTTAGCTTTTGATAACTCATCTCCCAGATGGTTAAGAGGTTGACCGAGGGTAGGATGAGGGTGAGATGAGGTAGGATGAGGGTAGGATGAGGGTAGGATGAGGGTAGGATGAGGGCAGGATGAGGGTAGGATGAGGGTAGGATGAGGGCAGGATGAGGGCAGGATGAGGGTAGGATGAGGGTAGGATGAGGGTAGGATGAGGGTAGGATGAGGGTAGGATGAGGGTAGGATGAGGGTAGGATGAGGGTAGGATGAGGGCAGGATGAGGGTAGGATGAGGGTAGGATGAGGGTAGGATGAGGGTTAAGACCATCAATAAGGAATTAAGGGAAGGCTTCCCTCAAGTGGTCCTCACAAGCGCTGCTCAGGCGTCACGCCAGCACGCGACGCCGCAGCCCTCAGCACGAACCTTCCCTCAATTATTCAGAGGGCTGCGATTATAAATAAATGTTTGGAATTAAATATCATATTTTAATTGTAAATTTGCATGGATATTAAATATTAAAAACAATAAATAAAATATTAATTTATGTGGGAGAATTTCCATAACTATCAGACATTGGCGCACGTATTGTGAATATGAAAAATCTTAAATTGATGCGTAGGTTTCTACAAAATTAATATCAAATAATGGCGAAGGCATTTTAGATTTTAATTTATTTTAATTATGTAGGATATTAAATTTTGATTTCGTATGTTCAATATTTGCTTGGTAGTATAACTATTACTGCATATATATGCCGATATCATGGACAAAATAAAATTTTAAAAATTGCTGCAGGCCTGATGAATGAAATCAATATTCGATATTACGGAAGGCACAAAAAATTTAAGAAGAAATAAACTGTATCATTTTATCAGATTAAAGCCTGGCAGAAATATAGCTTTTTTACACATTTTAGGTATTATTGTATATTGTGTAAACTATCAGATATTGATGCAGGCTTTGTGAATATGATCTTCATAACATGTTGTTGCTGGTGCTCAATATATTATTCATGTTTAACATTGCTGCAGGTATAAAAAATGTTTTCATCATTGGATATGTTGAAAATCTTGGTGATGTTATTATAGATATATTTCACCATGCATTGTGCATAATTTTATTCTCATGTATAAACGAGATCTGGTGAGATCGATCAATGTTATTATCAAATATACTTTTAAATAAGCCATTAAATATACTACTCGCATTATTTATTATTAAATAAACATAAGAATAACACAGCGTTTTTCCGGCATGGCGTTCGTCAAGACATAATGACCAGGAAATTATCTCGACCAAGACCTGAAAATCGTACTAAAATGTTTATTTTAGTATTCTGAAAATGTTGAAATATTACGAAGATAATGAAATATGTGATGCAGCATCCTTATACTGTATTTGTTTGAAGTATTATGCTGGATGTTTGATACACAGTGTATTATTTCTGAAAACAACA